TATATATATATATATATATAATAAATAATCATAGGTAATACTGTTACAAATGTTGATTCAACTTTCTTTGATAAGATCGAGTATCTATCATCAAATCTGGTTCACAAAGAACAACCGAATCGTAATCAGCGTGTGCCGTACCGCCGCACTGTCCTTGCTCGTGGACGACAGTATCTGCTCCTTGCTAGAGTTGTACTTCTCTGCCATCGCGTCGGCGACCGCGTTGGCGCCGAGGAACAGCGCATTCCAATTGTGCGCGCTGGCGGCCATCTTCTTCTGCTTCAGCTGCTGCTGCAGCTTGTAGGGCATGTCGGGCGTTATCTCGACCTCATCGCTCTTGCTCGGCCGCGCCGGGATGATGTGCAGCATGCGGCCCTGCGCAGAAATAAGATATGAATAAGATAATATACACGTATAAATATCTATATATATCTATATATAAACTTCTGACCCTGCATAATCTCGATATGGGGGTTTTCCCAACACGCATCATTTTCTACGCTACGTTCCGAAACGTAATTTTGAAATCCGGGAGCTCATCGTCAGAATCAACTGTAAAACTGTCAAAAATCAACCCTTAAAAATAGTTACGACCATTGCGAGTCAAAAAACGCCGCAACCACCGCACGACACAGATCACTAAATAAACCCACAAACATATCTAGCCCCCCCTAACTACGACACATCTGACCCCCGGAAAGCAACGAAACGCCGTCGCGGAACAAAAACCGCGACCCAGTTCTCGCGCGAGTCCGACCTCCCTCCGGCGCGTCAGGCGACGCGTCCAGCGGCGCCCCCTACCTTGAACACGCTGCCATCGAGCTCCGCGTAGGCCTTCACGGCGTGCTCGGGCATCATGAACGTCGCAAACGCGAATCCCTTGATGCGGCCGGTCAGCCGGTCGACGGGCACGCTGACCTCCGACAGCAGGCCGAAGGTCGCGAGCAGTTGCTCGACGTCGTCCTCCGTCACGACGTACGCGAGGTTGCGAAGGAACAGCCGGCCCGACTCGGCGACCGACTCCGTGCCGCCATCGTCCCGCGCCGCCGCCGCCTCCCACGGCCTCGCCGGGTGCTTCACGTCGGCGTGCGGCGTCTGGGAGTCCGGCGTCTTTCTGCGGTGAAGAGAGAGAGAGAAGGCTTTTAACGTCGCCAATCGAGCGTTGTTCTGCGGCGTAGATAAATAGGAGTTGGCATTTTAACTTCAACAATCAAGCGTCGTTCTGCAGCGTAAAAAAAATATGCAAGTTTTGCATGTTAACGTCAACAGATGAGCGTCGTTCTAGCATGCAGTGAGACGGCAGTTTGCATTTTAACATCAACAATCGCGCATTGTTCCGGGCTGCAAAAAGGCTACAGGAATTATTCGCTACACGCGCGTCGAACACTACTTTCGCGGCAAGGGCGGCGGAACGTATTTAATTTGGAGGGGGCAAAGCCAAAAAAGAGCACGTTTATCATGTCATAATGCGTTTCCCGGTTGCTATACGATGAACACATATGGCATATCACGTATGCCTAGCTATTTATTTATTATGCATTTATTGAAGATAACATAATCAGTGCTCGAAATAAGCGTTGTCCGGTTGTCCGAGACAACCAGAATTTGTGCCGGACA